CTTAGCATCGCTACTAGGAGTAAGGCCCCTACTAGGGGCTCCTGGCCTCGCTACTAGGAGAGCCAGCGGAGAGTCTGCAACGCGACATGGTCGATTTTGAGGGTGTATTGGGACCTATTTTGGGGGAGTTTGTGCGATGGGTTCCTCGCTTTCCAGTAGTGTGTGGCCACGCAGGCTTTGAGAAACATGATGAAACTTCTCCAACTCGACCATGATGTGAGACTTCGCACAGACTGCAGCTAGTGAATTTCGACATCTGGTCCAAGACACCCTGAAAAATAAACCTGTTCTCACGCATGTCAGGGAGGATGCTATGAAGGTGTCCTCCACCAAACCTTCAAATGTGTCTGGTGAGCTCGACTCCACCCACTGAACCCTTATGTCCAAGCGACGTGCATGGCGGCCGCGCGGTTGGCAGCCGTGGCGCACGGCAACCTGGCGGTTTGTGTGCGCTTGCGCGGTTTGATCCCAAGGTCAAAGACCTGAAAGAAAGAATAAACACAGTAAAATGAGTGTAGAGAGTGGGCTTAATTTGGACAAACACATTGTTACGTGCTCAAATGCCTGAGACACTCCTCAAATTTAGCTCTACTACGTCAAGCCGAAGAAGCAAGGCTATACTGGCAACAAGAAACCTGAGGAGAAGGATCATGGTTGAATGGGCACCTCAATCAGTTTATGTGAAGCTGTCGTCTGTACCGGCTTGGTCTGGGATGTTGACTTCAATCAAGAAAATGTGTGACCATTTCAGATGTTAAACCTCTCTCAGTTGCATTTCTACGCAAAAAAGTTCCGCCTGGTCTATGACGTACCTCCAAGCGTCACTTCGGACGGATGGCCCTGCTGAAACACAGCTGCTTCCGCAGCTGTGCTGGCGGGGTGTGAATCGATCACATTAAACAATATCCTGGAGCGTCGGTCATGTTGACCTCCTGCTGGGCATTGCTACCCTTCAAATGCTCGGGCTGACTTGCTCGGATCGGATGTCGGGCGTGTTGCGGACGTGGACCTATAGACACTCCGGTGGAAGAAGAGGGTCTGAAAGCCACTAAGGAAGTCCCATGATTTTGTACACATGACTTATATATACTTATATTATGTTATGTTAAGTCAAGTGATATAATACTATAAATATTATGTTATAAAATACTATTGTTTATAGTAAATGTAGTTGTTTTTGTAGTTGTGTGTATGTGGGTCAAAGATGTTGGGACCGAGTCGGTTTGGCGACTGGGTAGCCATGCTGCTCCAGAGAGAGCGAGTACCTCCCCACCCAGGTGAGTGAGTGTTTCACTCGCTGCAACATGATGCAAATGTCACTGACGCGAGGCTGGATAGATCCAGAGACCACATCCCGATGAAGCCTGGGTGAGATGAACATACAAGCTTAGATAAACCCAGGGATCGAATGGTGTTCATGTCAAATCCTGCAACCTGATGAAATTTGAGTTGCTCAAGATCTGATATCTTCACCTCTGACTGCCGCAGACCTAAAGTCAAAACGACAGAGTTGCTATCGTCTTTTGAGGAGGCACCAATGGGTCAAACCCCAGCTAAACCGATGGGCTGAGATCAAAGCATCCCCTAAGGTCCCAGAAAGCACCGGCAAGAACAGCAAGTAGTCCCAGAAGGCGATTCACCCGGGAATATGTTCACCTCACCCTAAGCAAACATTGTTGATAATGCCTGGAAAAATGAAAGAACTTCCGGTTAAATGAAATAACTTTGACTCCCCGAAAATTCATCAAGAGAGGGTGAATATTGGACCATGGGTGTGTGAAAATGGTTGCAACCCAAAGGCCTGCGATACAGTACATCCAGGAAACCAAAGGCACCTTTGGAGAACTTGAAGGTTGTATGATATTTATTCTTTTGGGAGATCGGATGCTATGTGGAGCGGCGTAAACTCTGTCCAGCCGTTGGACCATGCAAAATTTCGAGATGCTGCAGCCAGGAAAGGGTCTTCACATGCAACAGCACAGCTCTTACAAGTTGGTGTTGTTGTCTTGCATCTTCCATTGATCTCAATGATTCAGCGAAGTACAGCACCTAATGGGTAGTCCAAGAAGATCTGGTTCCCTCATTGTGGAGTCATACAAAAGCCACACCAAACAAGCAGCCAGCAGCGCTAAACTAACCCCTTTTGCTGGCATCCAAATGTTGAGTGCGCAGAAAAACACATGCCATGTTGGTCCCGGGGGAACCTGGTTCTTTTCTTCTTCTCCATCTTGATTTGGATCATTGTATCTGCAATATTCTGCAATAGCAAAGCATCCTCTGCAGCAAACTAGTGATTGAGCATTCACGGCCTCTCAGGACAAATGAACAAATGCTGCTGATGGTTATATAAGTTATATACTGTTCACCTCCTGTTGCATCTGCTGCTTGGGGGAGTTGAGGTTCCTCTAAATGCAAACGGTCTGTCTGAAAGAATGTTGGTTCCTCTGCAGAACCTCAGTTGCTCTATCTCATGAGTTCAGCACCGATACAAGCAAACACAAATGTCCACCGCTGGTCTACTTGAACAATCACGCAGCCGTGTCCCGGCATGCAGCCGTACCAACTCTGCCTGGTCCCAAGACCAAGCAGGCAGCAACACAGAAGCCAAAAACAGGCACAGAGTCCGGCCTGCTAAGGGGGGCGTTGAGCGTTTAGCAAGCAAAGCGTAAACCAAATGAGCTGAGCTAAGAAATGAACCATCCACATACCAGGTTATCTTCTGGCCGCGTGCAATTCAAGTTTCAAGACCTTTCTGAAGAAATCTCATTTGTCTCACATCATTCTCTGGCCCCACGTCACGAACTCGCCCCTCAGTAATTACAACAACCAAAGAGTGCAAGACCAACGAATTAGTTTGGAGATGAGGCGTCAGTGGATCATCTGCTGAGCAACCATGGGTGAACAGCACTATTCATTGTGGAAAAACATGGAAAAACAATTACTATTCCGCACCACAACAACAACAACAACAACAAGCATACACAAAAACACATCAAAAACACAAAACCAACGGGGTCTGTTTGTTCCATGCACCCGGTCCTGAAAACGAACCCTGCGGTGTGGTCCCGCGTGAATCGACCGACCGGAACAAGGACGTCTCGTTTCGGGGCGCCGCCTTCGTTTCTGGAGGACCGTTGGGGAAGGGACATCCTAGGAATCAGTGACAAAGGGACCAGTCCAACGAAACTAGCTAGCAAAGCATTGCTTTGAAATGGTAAGCAAAACTAATTCTTCAGTATGACCTCTCGGCATGACATTTCTGGCATGACTTACTGTCCTATGACCGTCCTCAACTCCACTGTGCCATCCAACCAGCCATCCTCTGGAAGCACGTGGCACCAGATGCGGAGCGGTCAGAAGTCACACGAGGGCTTCGTGGTGAGGCATTCAACCCTGGTGGCCGACCATGGACTTCCCTGGATTCGGCAATGTGCCTGGGTGAAAGCATAACTTGCTGCTTGTCATGTTGCTTGGAGTACTTCTGCCTGGAGCTTTTCCTAGATTTGTGGTTCTATACCTATACCGATACTATGTCTATACTTGGTTGTTTCATGGAATATACGCTTCAACTTGTTGAAAGGGAGGGGCACTCCGAAGTATTGGATGGGAAGAAGGTCTGCCAAATCCTACAACCCATGGTCCGATTCGATGATAGTAACATCAACCTGTCCATCGTATATATCTGTCAGTTCCTTTCATCCTGGGGTAGACGGAACATTAATGATAGAACATTGGGCTCTGAATCATGCCCATGTTTTTGAATCTACAGAAGGGACTTCAAAGAATGTCAATGGACTTCAACTGCGTTTCAAACATAGAAAGCATCAAACCTGCAGGGATCTACGCCCCAAATGAATCTGCAGCACAAACTGCTGGATTGCTAAATGAAAGTTGTCCTTCGCCGTAGCCTCGGCCGGCAGCCATGATCCACTTTAGATCTACAGGTTCCACTGCTGTTGTTGTTGTTGTTGCTGGTTCCTCTTCAAAATCGGCCAGCTTTCTTCAAAGTGACCCTCTTGGAGAAAACACAAGGTACCTGTTGGTGACCTTTTACAGGCCCGCGACCACGTGACCTCAAGTATTAAGTTCGGTCAATTTGAAGAACCGGCTGTGGCACCTGGCAAGTGGATGTTTTGGGTCTTTGGGTCTGGTAAGTTCCGTCTCATCCCACCGGACTTAAAGACCTGGCTATGCGGAACCTGCTATGCGGAACCTCTCATGTTCATCTGTGCTTTCCGCTTTTTTCGCGTGATCATAGCAGCAAAGTCACTGAATCCAGGGCCTTTTCACAGCTTTTGGAGCCTCACCCACCACCCTCTCCCTATCCACAAAAGCAATAAATCATGAGACCCATACGCTTCCCTAGACCAACACGGCGTTGTCCAAGAGCACCTGGGACTCCTTTTATGGGCTTGTTCTGTAGGCCACAAAGTGAAGCAGCAAGCGACTTTGTAATTGTATCCAACCAAGGTGGGACTTGAATGAAACACCTCATAGAACAGCGGTCAACATATTATGAATTTCGAAGTTCATAATTCCAGGATCACCCAGGGGTGATATTTGGACCTAGATCGATCTAGCGACCTACGCTACATTTACATTACTTTTGAATCTTGATTGGGCACCCCATGGATGGTCAAGCTACATCCTCGGGATGAGCCCAATCCTTAGGTTTTGTTCTCCTGTCACCCATCTTCAGATGCAGCCCTTGCTAGACCTTGGTCTCCCCAGCGATCCGCATCAATCAGTGTTTCAGTCGATCATTGGATTCTGCTAAGATAAGTTGGAACTGTGGGCGATGGATTGTTGTTTGGCCTCAAATTGCCCATCCCCCAAAAAAAAGGGGAAACAGAAAACACCGAGAAAAAGAGTCGCACGGCTTCACACCAGCTTCTACATTGACACTCAGTACAAGAGTATATTAATCTCGTCACCATAGTCGGATTATTTGTAAGATACCTGATATTCAGGCGATCATGTAGCAAGTCATACGAGTACCTGAACAATTGGAGTCTTGGGTCTCGTTGCCATGTTGGCGCAAAATGCGTACTCATCATGATAATCCTGTACTATTGCCAGCCTCTACCGCGGCACCCGGTGCTCGGTCAGGCGCTGCTCCTCACGGATCGGCGAGGTCGCAAGTCGCGTTGGGTCAGGGCGTAATGGGGCACACCCAGACACTCCATGTGAACCTGGTTCTTCAGTTCGTGACTGAACTTGATCTCTCAGTTTGAGGTCAAAACCCTGTAAAAGGTCACCAGGCCCGGGACTCCAAAAAAGCTCACGAACTGAAGAAGCTGGAAGGAACTGCCTACAGCATCCAATGGGTGACCAATAAACTACCCTGCACTACATGTGGGAGACCCATGTTGGACAACTGATCCTGGTAAAATTTTAGTGCATCTATGGGCAATGAACAGTTTGTGCATTAATTCTTGCGCAGCTGTTCTCGTGGAGTTTGCATCAATTCTCAACATCCTAAAGTCGGGCATGATACCAGAAATGCCCAGCGTGCGCCCCGCCCGTGGTGTATAATTACCTCAGAAAGTCATCCTGGTGAATCTTCCCGCTCAAAGCATCTCTTATCGAGCTGAGCCTTTTCATGCGTGACTGCTCCTTCAAGCCGAACCTTTCTTCCTGCGCCCCTTCCCTTGATGCTTTTCGGGGAAGGTTTGCTTGAAAGACGTTCTTTGCAGGTCCGGAATCAGCGAATGGCTGATGCCACACATGGACACTCGGAGAAAAGAAAGACAAACGCTGCGAGCTGGATCTTGAGTAGTGGCTGCGCACGCAAATGCCACAACGTCAGCGTTTGACAACTGGAGAGGGGCCTGAGAAGGCGTGCCGCAAGAATATGTGTTCTGACTTCCACAAGAATTCAATTGCTAAATCCACCAACAATTCACAGTACCGGTCCAAACCTCGCAATAATTGTATTATGTTGAACTTTGGATTTGACCTCATCTTGGCTTGTTTGCAGTCGATTGCATGTTCTCAGCCGTGATTTTTGGAAAGGTTGTCACCGCCCAGTGCGACGACCGAAGACCCAAATGGATCCACAGGTTTGCCTCATCTTGATGAAGAGTGCATGTATACCATAAAATGCCTGCCAGCCTGCCTGGCCATTTTGCAGCACCTCCTGTGCCCCTGCCTCCACGTGTCCTCGGGAGCGACGTTCATTGCTCTGTGGGCTTCACAGCAAAGGTCACATAGCCTCAAGGTGGCTGGTGACGGAATGGTGTGCAGCTCGGCGGAATAGGGAGACATCGAAAGCTCACCATCGTTTGGAAGAGTCGGAAGACCGAGTTTAAGACCTAACAGCTTATGGTATATGTTGATATATGTTGTAGTCGTGGGGTGTGAGAAATTCATCTTGATGGATGTAAACCCTCTTCTTTGGGAATTTATAACCGCACATAATATGATATGCGATCTCTTTGATGCAGAAACGTCCTCGGCGACCTACGAGGACATGTGTTGCGCCTACCTTTTTGGATGTCCTGTCTTTCTGTCGATGTGAAGATCGACTATCTTGGCCTGTGTGTGTGGGCATGTGTCTAATACTCACATAATTACGCAATCTGGAACAAACATCTTACAGTCTTACAGCGTATAAACATATTATGTTTAAAAAGCATAACCACATATAACAAACACACTTTTTAACTGCCCATCCACCATCATCCAAACTTCCCCAACCTTCCCAACCAAGCAGGTCCCCGCTCCCCTTCACGCACCCCACCGCCCGACGTTCCCGTCTCGCGCCCAGGGCGCCGCAGGAGACGATGCCGAGCTCGTCCGACTCAATCAAGGCATCGGTGCCGGCGGTCATGCGCTGCATCACCTTGAAGTAGACCTGCCGGTGCTTTGGTGTGGACTTCGCGCAATGTCTTCTTCTTCTTCTTCTTCTTTCGTTTTTTTTGGGGCGGGGGCGGGTTTGGTGTGATTTGGTGTGATTGTGTTCTGTTCTTTTTTTAGCACAGCAAAGGATGTGTGAACGCAGGTGTCTGGCGGTGTTGGCGGGGCGAGCAGGAAGGGAAGAGGTGATGCTTTAAGATTTTATAGTCATTTATACCTTGTTCATCCCTTTTCGCTGTGTTTGGGGTGAGGACGAAAGGGAGGTAGGTCTGGAAATATGGTCTGCCAATCTGAACAAACCCATGGTCATTGTTCCAAGGCCTGAGTGGTTAGACACATCCATTTGCGGGTTTTGGGGCTGTTGTGGTTCCCTCAATGATTACTTGTTTTCACCTTTCCTTCTGAGGGTCCGAACATGGATTTCTTGTGCACCGACCGTATGTGCCATTAAACAAGAACTGCAAATCTCCAAGCCTCACAGATGTGGCTATGTCAAAGATTTCGGACCTTGTGCCTTGTGCTGCCTTGGCCCGGCAGTTTTTGGTTGTCTTAACCATGTACCAAAGGGTTTTGGTCCGGGCACTGAACACGCTCTGGTAGCAAAGGAACCAAGCATGGCACAGGGTGGCTACCCACGGGTCGCTGCCACGGCTGTTCATGTAAAACTGTTTCAGACAATGCCAGCGTGCGATAAGAGAGCTGTCACGTGCTGGTCTGCAGGCCGGTTAGGGAACATCAACCCATGACTATATGTATCTATTATGATATTCACTTGATGATGCCAACAAAGTCAATAAAAACATATCAAAACAACTTCTTATCTTATCCGTTAGAAGTTACAAATCCTTCGCTACATCCGGACTCTTGAAAACGATCCCAAACAAAGCCAAGAGTGAATCTCAACATCTCATAGGAAACTGATTCCCAACAAAAAGGACACGCGATCCCCTATCTTCCCTAGGGCTCCAACTGCCTCTGCTTCCAAGGTGCTTGGGGTGGGTGCAGTGGGGGGTCTGTCCCTACCTTCGGATGTGGATGGGGCCCTAGGGGCTGGTCCTCAAGTGAGAGGAAACATATACCTTGTGGGGAAAAACAACAAGATCCTCTCTTCAACCGACTTACAACACTCGACCTCCAAGTGCAAACAGCCACTACTCACTACCACCCCTTCCATCCACTCGCCTCTGGAACCAAGCCCATCGAGTGCAAAAAGCCCACCTCGGCCCGCTGAACACAGCGGACCAACCCAAAACGGATCCGGTTTCGGCCGCGACCCGAAACCACCTTCCGTGAAACGCGTCGTCGTCCGAATTGGCTGGACCGTTGGAACTGCGGTGCTGCGACTTTTTGGAAAGGACAAAAGTTTGACACTTGGAAATTGAGTTGGAGTTCTTGAAGTGAACATTGTGGACACCCCAGTTTCGCAGTCTAAGATCCTCGACTATAAAGGTAAAAGAACACCAGGTTTGACCAGTGATCTCCCATGTTCATCTCAGATTGTGGTGTGCGACCGCAACTTTACATACTTTGCTGGGTGTGTGCGGGTGTGTGCTGTACCAAAGCTTCAACATGCCTCATGACATAGTGTAGAACAGTGTATCCTTCACAGTGATTCCAATAGACTAACAACTAACGCTATATCTATGGCGTACTAAATCCTGGGGGAAAGGTGAGGATACGTGAGCTATACAAGGTAGAAGAATTGGATATGTTATTTGTCAGTGGCTTCGTGGGTGTATCTGAGATTTTGTGGGCAAGCTGTGTGGATCACGAACTACTTTTCTTCGGCATCCAAGGGCGGGGCGATGGAGGTCAGTGGCAGCCAGAAGTCCTTCTCTTGTCGCAGCAGCGGCGCTTGTCCTCAGTGCTGTGGGCGTACTATTCTCTTCAGCTCGCAGCAAGTCAGGGTGAAATGGAGAGAGGGAGTTCAGGTGGGTCATATGCAGGTCATATCGAGTCATATCCTGTGTTTTGGGGCGTTTCAGTCCCGAGTTCGGAATTCCAAGTTCGAGATGTAACTCACCAGGAGGTGAGTCATTTGAGCTCGTTCAGACCGTGCTGTTCACATCCCTATTGGAAGAAACCGGAACCTCAAGACGGCTGGCTCGAGGCTCATCCAGGTGCCGGGCCAGGCGTAGTCTGAGAATCAAGCACTTGGAGCCAGTCTGACATGAAGGAGGGGAAAGCCATGAACATGATCCTGGCCCTTCCTTGAAAGAACAATTGAAGAATGGGAGCCTCCAGAAAATAGGAGCCAACCCCCACGATTCAAAGTGGCCATCCACTAAAGCCCATGGACATAACATATGCACCCCATGCATCCTGGGGTCCTCTACCCAATTCAAAGGCACTAGTACATAAAACTGACTGCTTAGTAGGGAATCGGAATGAGGAAAAGACCTCCAACTAGAGATACCTAAGGAGGCTCCATTCCCTCATACTAAGCACTAAGCACTAAGCCCCAGGTCCGATCCTCCAGTGTCCGGACGCGATAAACCCGCCGAACGAAACGGCCCGTCCCAGTGACGGCCATTGATGCTGTCATCCTGGCCGTGCCAAACAGGAAGGCGCAGGTTCCGCCCAGTGTTGGTGCTCCCTGACTTCCCTGACTCTCCGTTCGGTTTCCTTTTTCGTCATACCAAGTCATACCCACTTCTGAATGCAGATTTCGAGGTCACGATCTGAAAGAAAGGAAACTGCGGTATGCACAAACCTATGCTTCTCTGAAAGTCTGCCAGGACGGTTCTAGTTTCAGGAATTGGAGGATAGCGTTTCAAACACGGAGATCTTGTGTACGACAAGCATGTTTCACTGGCTAATGAACTGGCTCCTGTCTACCTGTGACAGGTACGGTACGGTACGGTTTGGCAAAATCCTAATACATACGCTATGTATATCTCCACTATATATTATATATGTTTAATTGTCTTAATTATGATCCCAAAGATTCCCACAGTATATGGCTTGGTTCGAACTTGGTCAACCGCAAGTTGTTTGACGCTCAGCAATTGTGGGAGTCAACCACATGGGCCTTGTCACGCATGGAAAACCCTCTCTATACTTCTCTATACATTCTCCTCCACATGACTCTTGTTTCAATAAACATCGCCTCTCCTTCCCTTTCAGTTCCCCTCACTCAGGGCACGGCTGGAGAAGGAAGAAGCAAACACACACACAAGCAAAAAAACACACAAGAAAAAGGAAAAACAAGCACAGCTGAAGGAAAGCACTCTTGAAGAAAACAAAAGGACTCTTCACAGCTGAAGGAATAAGGAGACACACGAAAGAACAAGCTGGCATCTTGCTCACACGACATCTTCTCTTCTGAAACGGCACCCTGAACAAGCACCCCCACAGCCGAACTCGGGTGCTAAGACCTTGTGGTAGAGCACCTGAAAGCCAGCGGCTTCCACTGCAGCCTGGCGTCCAGCTGCGCCCCGGAAGGACACCGAAGCACCACTCTGATGCAAGGTCCCTCTGGAAAATGCTTATTGTAATGAGGCCCCCTATGCCTATGCTCAAGTGTACGGCGAAACAACAAATGAAACCAAAACTCGAATCTATATACCATATAGATATATATATATATATATAGTACATATTTAGAACAGGCAACTATGAGCCATCTATACTAATAATATGTACTGTATTGTACACATGGGACGTCCCAGCGGCTTCGAACCGAACTCGCGCCCGTTGCGGTTCCACCGGGGGAACCCGGTGGACCGACACAAAAAGGGATCAATGACGTCATGATCCGGTCTCTCGTATGTGGGTGTGTATGATGAAGAAGGTATATGGTTTAGTTGTTGTATGTTGTTGTATACTGATTTGATTCCAAGGAGCTGTGATTTTGTAGATGGGATGTGTATGTTCGGAGAACCCCTCGCACCTTCGCACCCCCGTAGACTGGGTAGACTGGTCTATTTTTCGGTGCTTGGGAGGTCTCCCTAATTCAGCTACACATCCATTAGGATGCTTTTAAAGGTGACCTCCAAGGATATTGGCTGAACATAACTCCTCAGGATGTAGAAAATACTGTCTATATAACTCCAGTAGGATGCTTTTGATGGTTTGAATATTTTGAATGTACAACACCATAGTGTCCCACGGTAAACTCTTAAGTGATACAATCTGATACAACACTCTATTCGAAGTTGTAACATCGACGATCGACCACATCGACGACGAAGTGAAAAACCGCCGGCTGCGCCTTGAAAGCCTCCGGCAGGCTGGTCTCAACACCTCCGAGCCTCATCGCATCGGAGAAATCGGCGCGAAAGGGTCGACGCCTTCGAAAGCCGGTCGATCGTGCGGTTAGCCGCACCGTCTTGGCCGGAGCGGAGCGCGGTGAGCAGCGCCATCTCGGCTCGAAAATATAGAGAGTGCTGTGAATGGGCCACCGGAAGCACGAATCGACCAACCGTGTGTGTTTGATGTTGAGTGGTGAATGCGACCTTGAGCCCAAAGAAATCAGTGGTCTAAATTGGTGTCAATCATTGTTCTTGAGATAGTGCAGCTGGGATTCATCAACACTTATTCACTACTCCGTGCATTGCCAAAAACATGCAAGCTATCTTGGCACGACATTAAACATTATGAAACATGTCAGCAAATACATCCCCCTCCAGTCTGGGTGCAAACACTCACGGCGATCCTGGCAGTTAAATTTAAATCACCCCCTGTTCGACAACACTTGGGGTTGCTTTGAATTTGTTCATCACGTTTCTAATAATAAAACATATTCATACACATTCTATAAGCAATCTCACCAATCGATCAAATAAGTAAGAGAGTTGTGTCCTGATACGGGGATCTGAGACACGAGATTTGAAGGTGTAAAAGTTAAATGGCTATTGGTCTCCCTTTTCTTCTAGCAGGTTTTACGTCTTCTTGACTTGATCGCCGCAACAGGGTGCTCCAAAGCATAGGCACTGACACTGAGTGGTCCATGATATCAAATTATCAAATTCCAAAAAACAAATGGGTTTCGTCATCAAAGGTCATCTACATGACCGACTTGCTTGACACCAATCTACCTTTCAATAGTTGCAGGGCTTGATTCATCCCAAGAGTCACTGGCTTGTAGAGGTTCTTCAGCTCCACATGATACGGGTTGCTGGCGCTGTAGTTTGTGCCTGGTGAGGGTTCTCTCTCTCTCTCTCTCTCTCTCTCCATCCCTCCTCTCAAGGACTGTCTTTGTCTTTGTTGTTCTACTGAATAGTGACCTAGATATCCTTCATTCCAAAGTGGCTGGTGGGCATTGATGTAGAAAGGGATCCCTTAACGCACCATCGTTAATCATTTACCACGCAACACTACCACAAAAAGTCATATATATACATAAGAGTGTCTGGTGAGGTCAAATTCTTAGAACAGCATGTTGTTCAAGCCTCCACACTTAGAACATCAGGCAAAACCCCAACAACAACACGCTTAGAACATCTTGGTGGATGCTCTTCAGATGATGTTTGTTGTTCACTTTCCATAGCACATCATCTCATCTATGTACACTTCTTCTTGTGTTCATGTAGGGCTTGACACGACAAGATTGAACATGGGAATGCTCAGCCAGACTAGCTAAAGCCAGTGATTCCAACGCAGCAAACAACCACCTCCATAGTGGTTCGACACAAATATATAACTGCACAACAGTAGCCAGGTGGCTTGTGAGCACCATTCCAAAGCAACACTCATTGGATTCAATTGGCAACTTCTTGTCCTTCTACTTTATATAAACCAGATTGTGTTCCAACTAATGCGCTTCCCATATGAGATGGTCAAATGAAGGGCAAAGAACATGGACATCACCTGTTGAATCTCCCAAACAATATGATGAGTGTGCCTGGGTCGCCCATCGTCCAACTAACCCGTCGATCATGCTGGTCCTCTCATGCATCAGGCTGGCCCAAAAACATCGGCCAACAGGAGTCCATCTGAACATCTCTGAACAAAGTACTTTGCCATACCCAGAGTCCATACCCTAAAGGGATGGTCATTGACCTACCAAAGTGGTGATGGGTGTGTAATCGGGAGACCTCTCAGTCTACGCCAGGGCCAGGGGTCTAAACAAATACACACCCATCACCCAGCTACTCACAGCTTCTTGGATCAACATCAAGATACAACTACATAACTAAACCATATACCTTCTTGAAATTACACACAACAACAAAACCATACGGCTGATCCCGGAGGTCCAGTCCTTCTCTCCCATTTCAGGCCGAGGTTCCAAGGACATAGTCCTCGAAGGCCACCCTCCCACCAGGCTTCACCACTCGATACACCTCCTTGAAGAAGGCCTTTTCAACAACTCACCCGGCAGGAGCGTCGGAACCGGCAGGGAACCGGAAGGACGGGATGGCCACTGCGCAGCAAAAGGACCGGAAGGACTCGGTACTATAACCAACACATCCAAAAAGCGGGTGGAGAGCAAAAGAAGTATCTTGACATCGAATCATGGCTGTCTTTTGGTGGTTTCCACTCTCCTCAGCTCAACAGACAGCGGAATCACAAGAATCACAGGGCAGCTGAAGCTGAACCCACCGAAAACCTTGTTTGGACCGGGCATTCCCGATGGATCCAACCATCTTTCAAGTGTAGGTCCAGCACCCTATCAACATCCGTGGATCCCCTGCACCGAACGTGCAGAAGCTAGGGAGGGACCCAGCCCAGGCACCCAGCCCAGGCGGCGATTGGCTGCTCTGCGACAGTCACGGGCAATCATGGGCTCCAAAAATTTTAGGATTTGATGCACACTTCTTCTTGGGGATGATCCATAAAGACAAGACATGTCTACCTACATCATGAATGGCACACTTTTCTGTCTTCCATTTCTCTCCATTTTGAGATTTAAAGACACATCCAGATCCCACGTCAAACATGCCACGGATTCCGGGAAAAAAAGATGTGCGTGCCGACTTTGCTGGTATGGGATGCGGGATGAGCTTTCGGCTGTCAGTTGCTCTCAAAAAGAACAAACACAGGTTTGTGCGAGGTTGGTACTATAACACTGTAACCTGTATGCTCATTCCAACAAAAATCGGCATATGATGGCATGGTGAGCCTGTCACTGACTCACTCGATCTTTCAATCTCGTCACTCGGATTCGATTCATAAGGGATTAATGTTTGGATTCCTGTGTTTTTTTTGGTTTTGTTTTTGTTAATCTGGTTTTCCTGCCAACCTACCAAGTATTGACCCAGAAATCCAGTTACCACAGAGTTTCCCTTCCAAAGGTCGAGCTACAAAAGGGACCCCCAAGTCCCACAGCTTTGAATCTGGTCGAAGGGCCCAAGAACAAGATCGCCGAACTATTGCAAAAAAATAACGGACATTATATGCCAATGTATAAAACTATGACTTATTATATAAACATACTATATATTACACATGATGTATTGGAATTCTGACATGAAAAATAACAATATCTGTATGTAAATAAATGTACTTCCTCAGCTGAACCTGAACCATCCAGTTAGCCTTTTGTTTCGCACGATCAAAACGCCACGCCATCGCTCGTGGCAAGCGCCACGCCTCAAGGTTGGTGCTGTAGCTCAAGACCTCAAACGCATGCCGATGGAAACGACATGAAACGACCAAAACGAGGAATTCACCGGGGATTCACTGTTCATTCACGACCTGTTCATGTGTTTCGCTGGTGCACTGTTCGGCCATCGAGACTAGACCTCGCTCCGAAGCGACGGCCGTTTGGGGCTTCCGTCAAGCTGGCCTGGACATAGTAAGCCGCGTCCAGGCTGTTGTCTTCGAAGGGCAACGGGTCGTTATAGTTCGCATGCTGGGCAAATGCATCAGTGGGCCGGGCTATTGGTGCTGGGTGATGAGCACAATCGAATCAGCTTGGGGAAGGGAGGGGAAGGGCAGGCTACACACTGTATATACGGAGCCAACTACAAATGCCTCCAAAATCATCCCCAAATATCAACAAACACCTTCACAAACTCATGTGGATGAAACTCATGTAACCCTCCAGTCCTGCCAAGACCTTTCAGCCAAACAAAAGCGAGTCTTTCAAGGAGATGTCTGTAGGATGAAATTCTGCATGGGCATGTCCAACAGGGAATTGCTTATATATTTATCCGCAAGCAATCACCTGGCAAAAATTCCACAGAAGGAAAGCCCTCAATTGCCCTCAACATAGGTTAGGGTCGTGTCATGACTATATAATGATATAAGTATAAATAAGTCAACCATATGTTTTGTTCATCGATGTACAAAATCGTTGGATATCTTATGTTCATGATCTTTCCGGCGGGACCTTCAGACCGGGCAAAATCAAGGGAATGGTCCTTGGATGTGTTTGGGTTCCCACAGAGGGAGATCTTTGGACATGAGGGAGACACTAAGGAGGTACTCCAAGCGAAGCGAAGAACTCTTACCCTGGAAGTCCAGTCATGACTCATTTTACCCCGTGAACACATGGTGGATTCTGACTACCCGGTGGGGCAAGTTATGCGTCAAAACGAGAGTTCTGGGTGAAACAACATGAACTGGAACCCCATGGGGGCGCCTGTAAAGGTGATGGGATGTGATGGGATATCTCAGTTACTGTATCTCCTTTAAGCAGTCACCTAAGGGGGTGATAGATTGTGATTGCATTCCTTCCAGAAAACAGGCATTACATGTTAGAGTGGAACCATGTGGAACCCAAATTTTGGTTCATTCAAGAAGACCACCCAAAAAGGATTCCGACAATCGTCCCAGTCCCTGTCTGGACAAATTGGCAATAATTTTTAAATGTCTATAACTGGTTGGCGACCATCCAATGGGTAAAATCAAACTCATCCGGCTTTGCGTTTGGGAACGAGCAAAAGTTCTCTTCGCTTGTCGATGTGTTTCCGTGGACGGTTTTCTGTTAACTTATATAAATTTAAATAAATATAGAAGTTGGGTATAAAGTTATATAAAGTTACTTATATATACTTAGATAAATATAGAAGTTGGGTGCTTTCCTTCGACACGAGGATGGTCAATCTCGATCAAAGCCCGGAAGAAGCATATAGCCATGGTTGCGTGTTTCAGCCTACCAGCACAGTAGAACAGCAACAATGAAGCCCCCCCCGACGAAACAACATGAATGCTGCACCTGGTCCATGGTAAAACTCCATTCTCAACCATAATTTCAACACTTGTCTGAACCAAAAGCCAGAAACAACGCAAGAAGACCACCTTAAGCCTCCCCAGGCGCGCCGCAACAGAACCAGGAGCCGTTGATTTGCGCGCCGAATACCCCCCGCCACGCTCATCTCACAGACCGGGCCTTGAAGTCCAACTGGGATCCGGAGAGCCCGGTCTGCTCCGCGTACTCCACCGCCTGCCCGAACCGGATCCGTGGGACCGTGGACGGAGGTCGGGAGCGGTCTGCACAGCAGGATGGACGTTGGGAGATCACGCCTGGACATGATACTGAAGATATATATATATATATATATGAAGCAATGCAAAAACGGCTGGTTCACTGCCTATGCTGGTGGAACTAGATACACAGTACTTACATGCAGCCTGGAATATCGACATTTCAGACACGTCAAATCTGTATACAAACTCTGAAACCCTTCCATCGAGGCCCTCACTACCAGCTGGTCGGATGGTCGTCCGTCCAGTGTTGTCCCTTTTGGTCAGCACGGTGCATCAGCGGTGCAAAGCGTGCCTGCCGCAGTTGCTCCTTGTCGATGTTGAGCCCGGTCACGTGCCTTGTTTGGGCACTTTTGAGGCTCCAGCAGTGGAGGGTCTGAGCAGGGCTTACAGGATGGCCTTTAAATCAAGGCATACTCATATACTGAGTATAAATAATATACAACAATTTAAAACAATTTGACTTTGGTGAAGCAGAATATATCTCCCATTGGACTGTCTGTTTGTATCTGCGAGCTGCATGACTGCCTTTGGGGTGTTATTGCTCATGTTTGACCGGGTTCAAGCTGGATGCTCTAGTGCCATGTTCAAAAAACATGGTGAGACTATGCACTCGTTGTTTAAGACCCAGTTCAACAACCCATTGAAAACCGACCTCGAAGATCCTCGGAGAAGTGATTGCATCACCCACAACTTCAGGACTATGGAGGGGGTCATGGCAGCAAACACTGCGGGAGAGACTTCTATGACCAGCTTCATCACTTGCCTGCGTGGCTACGGAATTTCTTTCTGTGTACTGCAAACGTGTTCAGCGTCAAGAAGCTGGATTTGAATGCATTGCACCCTCAAAACTTGACTAGCTGCAAAAACCTGACAGAAACGGTGGAGAATTTAGCTGGAGCAATCTTGTTGATTTTTCAGGCTGGATCACTTGGGCACTCCGAGGTCGTCCATGGTCCAAACATGCCAAGAACTTCTGATTCTTTCAGTCCTTTCCACCACTGCTAGACAGAATCAGCAACGACCCTTTGCCGCTCAAATGACGCGCCAGTGTAGGACGCCACGTGATGTGCGATGCGTCCTGCAGTGCATCTTCCAAGCTTGGGAAGACTGGGAGTTGAGATGATTGGGCGCTGCAGAATGGAACACAAGAAGCGCTATTAGGTTGGACATCGCGACGAGTAACGAGAAAACTTTCGAGAAACGAGAGAAAATACGAACATCTGGATAATATTCCCTACCTTGTTTCCGGACTCCAATGTCACACCGCCCCCTTGATCACTTTGAAACCCTCCAAACCAGGGCATTGAACACAAAACACGAAGCCCCAAACCAGGGCTGTGGTTGCCCTCCCAAGTCGTCGGTTCATTTCGTTGGTCAACCACAGCCTTTCCGTTTCACCCCACCGTTGGAGGCCATCGCCTCGGCCACAACCGATGTCCACGGCTTTGGTGCCAGGACCCAACTGAAGGAAATCTGCCATCTTTTTCTCATAGAGCTTCTGATTGCTGTACCTCATGTGCTCCGGTGGGATGAGAGCCAAGGGCAGTGCAGTGACAGATCCATGAAACAGGAAGAGATGTTCAGATGTTCAATCTGGTGACGCCTGGGTTTTGGCCGGGAGGCATCCCTTCTTGCAACACAATGATCAAATATGTTGTTTTTAGCATACCCAAGAGGTGGAGCTTAAAGGTGAAGGTATGATAAGGTATGCATAGTTTCAGGGATCCAGCTGTATGATCCCCCTGATCGCATGGTGGATGGGAGTTCGCTGGTGTCACCACGGTTGGTGACAACTCAGTGACAGCGTTTGTCCAAACCAAACCGCAGGCGCCAACGGGCGCAGTTACCACCCTTTTTGGAGATCCCCAATGAATCATCCAGACTCAACAGCGGCCTGAAAAACTCGGTTCCTGAAAAATGCCCCAGTGGGATTCCTGTATCCCACTTGAGTTGTGGTTTGGTGATGTTTGAACAGATATCAAGAGCACCAGGTCTGGTACTGCGGCCTGGCGAACCAGGTCTCCTTCAGCCCAGTCCAGTCCACCAGTCTGTCCACAAGATCCATAGACATCCTGGTCCGATGACCTCCCGCTCCACCACTGAAGACCAGTGGGACCGGGAAAAAAGATCCGCAACCTGAAAGGTGGCGCTAGAGCTAGTGCTAGGGCTCCAAAATATCTCCTAGGATGCTAAGACTGGGACTGGGCTGTCGCCCGGTGTCGCCAGGTGTCGCAGAGCGCCCTGTGTCGCTGAGCGACACATCCTTCGTCTCATCCAGGTAAGGGGGAAGGTACATCTTCCTTATCCAAAGGAGCAGCAGTGGAGTCCAGTTTCTGTGCATGAGATGCACTCAGCGGTGACTTTTTTGGATTTTTGCTGGGTGGGCGAGCGACAAAACGCGGTTCGTTGAAAGCAAGGAGTGAAGCCAAAGCCAGTTACTTGAAGTAGGGGGATAACCATTCCGTTACTGTATGTTGGTTGTGCCGCTCAACAACACTGCCACGGTGACCACAAAGGTCTAGTATATATATATATATTTATTTATATATATATATATTAATTATATATATGTAGTAATACAAGCTGGAGTACCCACACGGCCGAGTGGCTTCAAGCCAAAGTGCCTTGAGTGTTCAACCACCAAAAGAAAAGTCTTCATTCCACTTGGAATCCAGAGTGACCGGAGCCAAAAAAAGCAGGAACTAGTCTGATGGCTGACAGGTTGAGATTTATGGAAAAGAAAGAGTTGGTTTGAAAACACACTCTCGTACCAAAACCACTTGATGCATCACTCATTTTGCTCATCCCCCCAACACGATAGAAATCCAACCAACATCAAAATGGAAAGGCCAAAGATCAAGGAATCAAGTTCCCAACAAATGGAAGACCAGCTGCCAGTGTTGTGTACAAAGGAATCATCTTTGTGGAAGTAAGATCAGTGGGAGGGAAACTCAATTGTGAGAAAGGAAGGAGATCTCCTTACAAATGCGAGCAAAGGACAAATAGCTTTGGAAACTAATCTCATCATCACTTATTCGAAGTGAACCATCATAACTCAGGCAACTATGGCCTATGGCTAAACTCCGTTCTAAACCACTGGCCTTGAGGTTGGCCACTGCTCAGGAGGGGGTCCCCGTTCTTGAACCTGGAAAACAATAATATCATGAAATATGTACATATATCTCATAAAGAAATAGTTCACTCTTTTGTTTCTTACTCATCAATTCAACATGATCAAAAGCATGTTAGACCGGAACCGAGCGGCTCAAAGTTGCCGATGGCACAGAGGTGGTTCAGCACACCTCGTCGCTTCGCTCGGTTTCGACGTGGCGAAGTCCGTGTGGAATGTCTCTACACCTTGGAGAAGGAATGCTGAGGTAACCTGTCTTGCGAAAAGAAGGAATGCTGATGGTGTCCCAGAAAGAAAACGCATTTGGATGTCGCTTCTGCCCCTTTTCCGCAAAAAGGATCCCGGCGCCCATTCGCAGTGACGAGCACAACCGCTACTACTGCAACCACGATGATGACTACTGCTACTGTTACTGCTACTCCTACGACTACCACTACTACTACGACTACCACTACTACTACTACAACTACTACGACGACTACTACTACTAGTACTACTAGTACTACTAGTACTACTACTACTACTAGTAGTACTAGTACTAGTACTAGACTAGTACTAGTACTACTACTGCTACTGCTACTGCTACTACTATTACTATTACTACTACTACTACTCCTACTGCTACTGCTACTGCTACTGATGACTACGACCTACTACTCCACCTTTTTTCTCTTTATGTGTCCATCTATGTATTCTTTATTGTTTCCATCTATTGTCCTGCAAATAGTAGGACGCATAGAATGGGTTCTGAGCAAAACAAAGGCACACAGCAATATAATTGTTGAATGTGCTCAACACATTTATGACAAAGGAAAACAACATACAGCCGCAAACACATGAACATGGTAATATGATGTACTGTGATATGTTGAGTTTTCTTATGTGTATTTAATGTATATTGATTTGTTGCTGTGCAACTGAAATGTGCTGTTTCTCTTACCATACGCCTCCCTAAGATTCAAGCTGGTGAGGTGAGGAAATGTCTGCACTCGTCACGGAATCAAACCCAACATGCAGCACGCATGAATATGATCCTGTAGCAATAGACTCTTGTACCAAAAACATATGAACAACAAATCAACAGAACAAATGCTGAGCAAATGACAAACGTAACATCTGCTATCATCCATGTGCTATCTTGGATAGTACCCTCAGGATCTCAGAAGGATACTCCTCCACCTCAGCAAGTGGCAAAAATTAAGATCAGGTATGATAGAATGTCGCCTATGTCTATGTAGGTGTGAAACATTCATCGGAAACGTCGACGAGTCCAGGTAGTCTCAGGTTGCATGTCTCTGACATGTCCCTCTTGAAGCTGGCTTGATGAACATGTAACGGTTGTCTAGGGATCCACATACCTTCTCAGAAGGTACTTGGGACCCTCCAAGCCTACATATATTATCTCCAAACACTCATACAATTGTACAGAAAGATGAGAAGGATAATTGTTCATCTGTCCGTACGTTGGGACCTGATATTATTGTGCTGGTCAAATGTTGCTGAAGCGTACCTAGCTGGTAAACCTGATATAAACTTGAGGCCAGGGGGAGAGGTCGAAAGCTAGCCGAATCGCACCGGATGTACTAGTTACATAGTCGGCAAAGCATGTAGGGATGACATGTTTTGGGAGGAAGGTTGCTATGTACATACTTTGCGCTAAAGAATGTAAATGTGACATCGCTGACTGGGAAGGGTACATTGGAACAACCCGGGTGCACTCGTTGGCAGGCACGAAGATGCGTGATCGGCAAATCTGGGGGGTAAATTTACCCTCCGCTTTTGTATGCCTTGAGTCGGAAAGAGGGGTAAGCATTTCTGACATCATACGGACTGTACATACACTAGGGCGTCCGTAGTGTAGGAGAAGCACGGGTAAAAGGTATATGGAATAGAGTGTCTTGAGGAAATAGCCGGTGTATGGTTATTGCAAATCTGGGGGGTAAATTTACCCCCCCGCTTGTGTATGCCTTGCGCTGGAAAGAGGGGTAAGCATTTCTGGCATCACAAGGACTGTGCATACACTAGGGCGTCCGTAGTGTAGGATAAGCACGGGTGAAAGGTAGAAAGAGTAGAGTGTTCTTGAGGAAATAGCCGGCTTATGGTTATGGCAAATCTGGGGGGTAAATTTACCCCCCGCTTATGTATGCCTTGAGCCGGAACGAGGGGTAAGCATCACAAGGACTGTGCATACACTAGGGCGTCCGTAGTGTAGGATAAGCACTGGTAAAAGGTATCAAGAATAGAGTGTCTTGAGGAAATAGCCGGTGTATGGTTATAGCAAGCCTGGGGGGTAAATTTACCACCCGCTTATGCATGCATTAGGTTAGAAATAGGGGTAAACAACTTGTAACGGTGAAGTACAAGTCCTATGCAGCAAGCAGCAGCCAGCAGCAGCAGCAGCAGCAGCAGCAGCCGCCTGCAGCCAGCAGCCAGCAGCAACCACCAACCAGCAGCCAGCCAGCAGCACCACGCAGCAGCAGCGCAGCATCAAGACGCAGCAGCAGCAGCACCACCGGCAGCAAGCACCACCGGCAGCAAGCAGCAAGCAGCAGCAGCAAGCAGCAAGCAGCAAGCAGCAGTAGCAGCGGCGTCGTCAGCAACAGCAGCAGCAGCACCAAGCCGCAACAAGTAGCAAAGCAGCAGCTACAAAAGCGGCAACCAGCGGCAGCAGCAAACAGCAGCAGCAAGAAGCAGAGCGGCAGCAGCAGCAGCACCCTTTACACCAAGCCACCGTTACACCCAACCAACCACGTTCACACGTTC